TGACTTCTCATTGAGCCATAAGTAACTTTTTATTTACAGAAGGACTAGTCATTATTCGAACTGTTTGAGATCTCTTGGATTCTCAGAGCCAGTCTCTTCCTCCTCTACTATCAACCGAATGAAGGCATCTGGTGTTGGAGCAACTTCAGAAATGACAATGCACTTTCTGCTAAGGAACAAGACAATGGTCCTCTTTCCTTTTGAGAATTAAATAGGCCAACTAAACGTATATGTTAGAGTTAAGCATCCAAGTTTGTTTTTTTTTTTTTAAACAAGCAAAAACGTTTTTTAACCCAAGTATTAAGACGTATTCAGCATAATGGGTAAAATAAAGAGTGAGAAATAAAGATCATAATCCCCACACCAGCCATTCTTCCCTTGGCTCATCTTTTAGATAGGAATAACTGTTCCCATGATTTTGTGGAAACAAAAAGTTAAAATGGAGCTGGGGATGTAGTATAATGACGAAGCACTTGAGGACTTAGCATTACTTGAGGACCTAGATTCCATGCTCAGCACCCCAAAAGAACAAAAAAAGTTAAATACATTGTGCAAGCCTCAGCTCTGTTTACCCAAAGGACTGCTTTCAAATCAAAACATCTGAATTAGCCTGGTGTGGTAGCACAGGCCTGTGAGGCTAAGGCAGGAGGGTCAGGCAAGATTGAGGCCAGCATGGGCTACGTAAGTGAGTTTAAGGCCAGCTGCAAGTACATTGTAGGAGCTTGACTCAAAATAAATAAAATAAAAATCTGAAATTAAGATTGGCACAATTGGGGGCTGGGGATTTAGCTCAGCGGCATGAGTGCCTGCCTTGCAAGCAGGCAGTCGTGAGTTCGATCCCCAGTACCGGTAAAAACAAAAAAACAAACAAACAAAAAAAAGATTGGCACAATTAGGCTTAAATATTCCCCTAGCTACAAAAAAAAGCAGAAAGTTGTGCCCCCCACAAGTTACTACACAGTAGGTTCCTGCCTCTTGAACCATTAAGTAGAGAATTTTAGCCATGCAACATGAAGACATGCATTTTAAAAAATATTCCCAATTCAGCTCTCAAGTTTCATTTTCCTCTTTGATAAGGGATCAGACAGAGGGTGTGTCCCCCTCCAGGAGCTACCCTGCTTGACAAACTGGTCTTCAATGATACCTTTCAGAACCTAACAAAACTCCCAGAATGAAAAAAGCACAAAGTTGGTTGCATTCAACTTAAATGCTTTTATTGACAATATCTTGGAACAATAAGCAAACAATGCTTAAATTTTTCATTCAAATTCACTTTCCACATGTCAAAAGACCTCAAGGTAGAAAAAAATAAAATAAAAATATAAATATCTGAGAATCCATCTTAATAAATAAATTAAAAACACAATAAAACGTTTTCATGGAAAACTGTTAATGTCAGAACATTCAGACCACCTCAACAATGCATGATCAGTAACATTACAATGAACATTGATGTTGAAGAAAAACTACAGTACATGGATATAGCTATTTATTTCTATCTACTAGAAAATAAAGTCATATCTTTTTCTTAGTTAAATATTGGTCGTTTCTAATCAGAACACACTATTGCCAGGAACACAGTAGTTATTGTTAAAATCAGCTGCACTAGATACAATTTGAAAATATCCAGCACCAGGTTAATTCCAATAATGAACCCAATAGATTAGTTAATGCTATGAGAAGACTAAGGAGAAAGAGAAAGAGACACAGACCCAGGCCTGGCTCAACATGCTACTAACTACCAGCTCTCAGATGTGTCACTGGGAACAATACACACTCCATGCGTTTTGCTACATCTCCGGAAGAGGTAAGGACTTGAGTCCACTTGTGGATGCTTGCAAGTCCTTGAGGCCCATAGCCTGGTGTGTTTCACGCACAGATAAGGTCTTCCCTAGGTCTACAGGAACCCTCGAGGGAAGACGTGTTTCTCCTCTCTGAAATGCACCAACTTGGGCAGTGGCACTTGACGTGCCGGCTGCCTCCCCTTCCCTGCCCGCTCACAGGGCCAGCAGCGTGGGTGAGCTCAGTGAGTCAGAGGAAGGCTCATTGCTGCTGCTACCCTTGCGGTGGGCAGCTGCACAGCTGGGAAAGGAGTCAGCCTCCGGGTAGGTGAAGACAAAGGAAGACGTGTAAGTAGTGCAGCTGGGAGTACAAGTGACCACTGGGGTGCAAAGGGGCTCCAGCTCTGTGGCCATGGGCCCCATCCCCAGAGAGCCACTGTGCAGAGGCTCCCAGTCTGCTGCATAGAATGAACTAGACAGGTCCATGTCTGGTACGGAGCGGGCGGTCTCGGAGCCACTGGGCCTGGATGATGCGGGGAACATGAAGTCATCAAAGGGCTCTGCCTTCAGCTCCATACTGCTGATGCTCTTAACCGGCTCCACCGATGGCTTGGGCTCAGGGTCATTGAGGAGGGGCAAGGTGAAGGCCTCCTCAGACTCTGGGGTGGTGGCCTCCTGCAGGCTGCCACTCAAATCCAGGGATGCCACAGACATCTCTTCTGGAAAGCCCAGGTCGTCAGGAATCTTGCAGGCAGGTCGGTGGGCTGCCAGAATGAACTCTAGCTTTTCCTTCTCCTTCAGCAAGTTGGCAATCTCAGTCTGCAAAGCAGACTTCTCATCTTCAAGTTGGTCTGTCTCCTATACACAGAGAGGTAAAAGCAAGCATGAGACACAGTTGTGCACAGGGTCCTGCTCCTGTATGCCCAGTCTTCAACTCTCCCTCTAAGTTTTACAAATCACGACCCATGGCTCTACCTACCGCTTGGAGTGTATCAGTCAGCTCCCTCCTCCGGTTTCGGCACTTGGCTGCAGCCATCTTATTCCTTTCCCTCCGGATTCTCCTTTTCTCTTCTTCTTCAGGAGATAACTAAAAACGATAACAGAAAAGCCCAACATTCAGTAACAGCGTCTGCCATTCACTTATCCCTAATGAAACTAGCTCCTGCAGCTTCACCTCTCTGTGAAGCCCTTTCTAACCTGCAGCTGCAGGCTGGGTGTGACTTGCATTAAAAGTAAGATTCTCCGCCAGGGAACAAAGACAAGCCCAGGCTAAAATATGAGGTAGGAAACTATCAGAGAAGAAACAACTAGGGTACTTCTTGAGGGGCGACTATCAGAGTCGGACTTGGGCTGGAAAAGCCTTGGAGCCGGCATTCGCACCAGGAAGTGCAGTCAGTTCCATCCGGCTTCACCTCTCTAACTGGGCTCCAGTCTCTGCGCCCCACCCCCACTGCAGAAGGGCGCCTCACCTGTTCCACCTTGCCCCTCCTGCCGATGCTCTGCGCTCGGCCTCCATTCATGGTCTTCACCACTCCGGCCCTGGAGTAAGCCCCAGCAGGGGGCGTGGGGACCCCGTAAGGGTGGGAGGCTCTGGTCTGCGACGGGGCCACGGAGGACACTAGGGCAGGCTGCACCAGCCACTGCAGGTCCGGGCTGGTTGAAATAGCAGTCACCGTGGGGATGAAGTTGGCACTGGAGACAGCAAGATCCGTACAGAAGTCCTAAAAGGAAACAGAAGGGGAAAGCTGACGTGAGCAGGCAGGTTCGAGACACAGGTGGAGCGATCGGAGTTGGTGCCGCATGCAGCAGAGAGCGAAAGGGAGAGAAACAGTCTTGTTGCGGACTCCTCTTCTAAGCCTTCCATCCGGAATGAAAGCCCTCCCGCTTTGCCCCCAAGATATCCGCAGCGCAGCGCCTTTCCCTTCCATCCTGCTGCTGCCTTCCCGTTATCCCTTCAGCATCACTCGCTAGAAAGGAGGTTTGTTATAAATATCCCTGACGTCTGAGCTGACGCAGGCGCCGCTCCGGAGTCTCCAGAATGAACTCGCTTTTTATCAATGAAACTGCCTTACACACCACCCGCTGCACCCTCCTCCCTGCGCCTTCCTCTGGACTGACTGCAGGCTGCCCGGGGAGGGGAGATCCTCCCCGGAGGAGCCAGGTTCTAGCTAGCGAGTCTCTGCTTGGGACACGTTTGTCCCAGCTAATGTCAGAAACAAGTCCTGGAGCGCGGTGCGGGAGTGGGGTGGGGGAGGCGACTCAGGATGAACCTGTCGCGGGAAGGAAGCTAAGTCTTACTATGACAAGCGTGCGTGCGCTCCGAACAAGTCCCAGGCTCCCAACCTCGAGCTGCTCGGGCCTCGGAAGCCTCCCTCCCGGGCAAAAGGGAGACTCTGACTGGTGTCCCTGAGCGTCCCGCTCCGGAGTCTCCAATCCCCGGCGACCCCGGCATCCCGGCCCCGCAGCGGCACGAAGCCAACCTTACCTGCGCATTGACGGGAGAGCCCATGCTGGAGAAGGAGTCGGCCGGTGAATGGTAGTAGGAGAGACTGTCCCCCGCCGGGGAGGCGCTGCTGCAGCGGGAGGACGCAGCCTCGTAGTCAGTGTTGAAGCCCGAGAACATCATAGTAGCGGTGAGTGAAAGCTGAGCGAGGGGCCGAGGGGTAGAGACAGGTGGGAGCTGCGAAGCAGAGCTGGGTGGGAGCACGGTCGCTGCTCGTCCGCTGCACCGCTGCCGCCTGCTCTATCTCGGTTTCTCGCCTGCTCTTTGCAGATGCGGTTGGAGTACTAGGCGCCGCAGCTACCGCTTTTATAACAGCATTTTATGAATGAGACAATACGTCACTGGGCGCAACCACTGTAGCAGGAGGGGGAACGCGCGCGCACCGGGATGTCCCTGTGGCCGCCTCACCACCTCTGCCACACTCACAGGGCCCTGCCTGTCTTGCTGTGTGCCCTTGCCCTATGAATGCTTTATAATAGGGGTCTCAGGAGTCTCTTGGGCCTCTCCTTACGTGGGACTTCGAGAAGACTCCCCCTACGACTACAGCGAACCGCGGTGGAAACCTGCTGACGCAGATGTCCTAATATGGACATCCTGTGTAAAAGGGGGGAGGGATTGACGGGAACCGCTCGCGGGCTGCAGCCAACACAGAGGGTGCAACGCGGGGGGTGCGGGGGGGGGAGGCGGAGGCCGAGGCTGGGGGAGGGGATGCGGGATCAGCGGAGAAGGCGAGCGAACATTTGCACCTGGTTCAATGCAGACCCTTGTTCCCCGGGTCGGAAAGGATGGAGCGAGGGTCGCCTCTTTATCGTTGTCCAGAATCAGAGGACAGTTCTGAGGCTCAGGAACAGGAGAAACAGGTACAGGGCCCGGAGGGCTTGAAGCCTCTGCTCTTGAACAAATGCGCCTTTACCTACATACCCCCTAATTCAATGCACTATGTGGGATCCGACCCTCAGCCCCCTTGCCTCGAACTCGGGGGTTCAAGCGATACTAGGACAGCGTTTGGAAGAGAATGTGGAGGATCTAAAATAAGAATACGATAACCTACTTTATCTACGATGCTGGGTTCATTCATTCATCCATTCGTTTTTGTTTTTAAGGAAGACCGTGTACTTATTTTGTTCCTTGGCCATATGTAAGTTTATTAATGTTACTGTCAAATCGAAGACAAGAGCTGATAAACATTGAGCAAGACCTCCATGCAAGGATATCTCAGAGGTCTTTTGCCTTGTACGCGAGCTGGGGCCAGAAGGTTGCGTTGTGTGGGTGGAGTGGGGGGTGTCATTACATGGTGGGGTGAGCTTCTGGGGATAACGCAAGTCTGCACTGGGGAGACGCGGGGGGTGGGTGGGTGGAGCGGCTGGTTCAATCCCGCCAGGAAGCTGCGCTTACAGGCAGCCCGTAGCGGGTGATTTTCCAGCTCGGACTTGGAAGGGGGAGGACCTGGGGGACTGGAAGCTTCGTGCCTAGCAGCGGCCAGGCGGCAGACCTCTACTGCTGGGGCCCCAGGAACAGTCTGCGTGCCGAAAAATGAGGTTTTGGGAAGACAAGGTGCCCTAGAATGCGCCATCCCACCAGACGCCCCCAGCCTCCTGATCCGCTGCAAAGGACAGCCGAGGTCACCCTGCCCTGGCTGGGCCGCAGAGCGCCGGCCACCCCTGGGGCAAGAATCTGCAAGTTCCCACTAAACCCCTGTGTCCCCTCCCCCACTCTTTGGGCCCTGGGGTCAGAAACCGAGGTGGGCACCCAGACAGAGTGAGGTAGGAACAGGCGAGGGGACTGATAGTTAAAGGCAAGGGGGAGCAGAACCGCGAACCTGCTTCCCGCCGCCGCACCCGGGAGCCAGGCGATCCTGCTATAGATAGTAACAGGGAAGCGGCTGTTTACAGCAACACAGCGCCGCCAGGGCCGTCTCCAGGCGACGCCGAGCGACCGGGCGCGCCGTCGGCCCTGCAAAGTCGCCCGCCCTCACGGCTCCCCCGTGGCCTGGGCCTTCTAGGCTGCGGCTGCGCCAGCCACCTGACATCGCTCTACGGTCCCCGGCTGAGCGCGGCTCGCGCGGGGCTGTGCGCTAACCTTCATTCTTCGAGATCCGACCCGGCGAGAGACAGGAGGGCCGGGAGGCGGGGATTCGTGGAACTGGGCCACTTGCTATTTTTGTATTCCCTGTCACAAGCAGAGGTGAAAACAGAATTTCATCATTGTATGTCATTGGTTTATGTTAGTGGGAATTTAAGCGCTCTCTCTCTCTCTCTCTCTCTCTCTCTCTCTCTCTCTCTGTCTCATAAGGGAGGAAAGGAAAAACACACATATAAACAGTCTTCTTGGAGTTACTCTGAATCCTTGAGCAATTCTGTGGCCTTCAGGTCTATCATCTGTCAGGCTATTCCACTGTCCTTGATTTTTGGAGAGAGAGAGAGAGAGAGAGAGAGAGAAGGAGGAGAAGGAGGAGGAAAGAGAGAGAGGAAAGAGGTTATGAAGACAAATCCATTTCTCCTCTTATTAGCTCTGACAAAGTAGGTCAAGCTTTGAATTCCTGGGCCTACTGTTGCCTTCCACTCACAACTGGGTCTCAGAGCCACTTAAGAGGAAACCTAGAATGATTTATTTCTCCTTCAAGTCTGAAGCATCTCAGGCCAACACCTAAAAGATGTGTCAAGATTTTATATCCAGGATTTATCTCATGTATTGCTTATCCTGCCTTTGCCAATAAAGAAAAGGAACAGGGTCTTTGGGTGACCCTGACTCTTCCAAGATGGTTTAACTCTTTCCTGCCTGGCATCATTATGACCAGAAAGCTAAGATTTAACAGAGCTGTCCTCTAAAAAGGACAGACCACATTCATTCTTTCTTTTGTTTATTTAACAAAGAACTATGAACTCCAGCAGGCCCAACACCTGGCTGGAAGCTGATGCTTGCTATATGGAACAGAGTGGAACTGTCCCTACCCTCATAGAGATTCCAGCCTCATGGGGAAGGTGGATGGGTCAGTTGAGGGTTACAGGACAGCAGTAGGAGGTTTGGCAGAGGTACGAACAGGAAGCTACAGAACACAAAGAAGGTTTGGAGAAAAATCCCAGAAGTGACTGCAATCAGATATGGGGCCTGGATTATCTGTCTTCTGGGTAAGGAAATGTGCAGATTGCAGAAAGACAGTACCATCAAGGGAGCAAGCACTCAGCCAGGAGCTGTGAGATTGCATGGTGCAATCTATCTCAGAGTCCCTCTCCTGTCCCACTAGCACCCATACCTCTAATGTTGCCAGACGCCTCAGTCCGCTCATGATATGTGTTTCAGGACTGCAAAACCACTTGTTCAAATGTGGACCAGCAGTGGGTTCAATTCCTAGCTTATCAAAAAATAAATAAGTAATTAAAATAAAATGGAAAAGGTGGAGTGTTTGCCCAATATGGGGAAGGGGCCAGTTTGACCTCAAGCACTCCTCCCCAAATAATAATAATAGTAAAAAAACAAAGAAATGAAGTTGGTCCAGCAATCCCATTCCTGGGTATAAACCCAAAGGGCATTTCCTTTGAAACACAGTGCTTAAGGAACCTGTAAACTCCCATGTTCATAGAAGCATTATTCACAATAGCCAAGATTTGGAAATAACCTAAGTATTCATCAACAGACAGTAGATTTGGAAAATGTGGTAAATATATACACCAAGGAAAACTATTCAGCTTAAAAAAAAAACAGGGCCAGATGTGGTGGTGCATTTGGGAGGCTGACGTTTGGAGCCAGTTTGGGCCACATAGTGAGTTTGAGGACACCCTGATCTACATAGTAAGACCCTATCTCAGCAAAAAAGAAATTCTCTCATTTGCAACAACATGGATGAAACAAAAGGACATTATGTTAAGTGAAATAATCTAAATACAGATAAATACCAAATGACCTTATATGTGGAATCTAAAAAATGTGAGACTCAGATGTAGTGAGTCAAAAAGTGGTCACCAGAGTGTAGGGGAAAAGGGTAATTAGGCAGGGGAAGGGGCTAGTCCACAGATCCAAAGCTACAATTAGGAGAAATAAGTATGAGCATTCTATTGTACTAAGGTGACTATAGTTAATAATAATATATATTTCAGACTAGCTAAAAGAAGATTAAATGTTTTCACTGCAAAGAAATTATAAATATTTGCAGTAGAGATGCTAATTATTCTGATTTAATTTTTCCACAATGTATACATGTATCAAAATATTTGGCACCCCATGAATATATACAATGGGGTTTTTTTTAGAAATTAAAAATAAAGCATTTATGCTGGGGATTTAGCTCAGCTGCATAAGCAGCTGCCTGGCAAATGTGAGGTCTGGAGTTCGATTCCCAGTACCAATAAATAAATAAAAATCAAGCATTTCAGAGCCAGAGATACAGCTCAGCTTCCTGTCTGTCAGATGCAAGGTGATGAGTTCAATTCCTAGTACCAAGCAAAAAGAAAAAAAAAAAAAGCATTTTTTTAGCAGGAGTGGCGATGCACACCTATGGTCCCAGCATTCGGAAGGCTGAGGCAGAAAGATTATAATGAGTTAGAGACCAGTCTGGGCTACAAAGTGAGCTCAAAACCAGCCTGAACTGCACAGGCTGTTTGGAGAGCTTGTCTCCAAAAGACAAAAAAAAAAAAGCATTTTTTTAAAAAAACAGAGCAAACACAACATAGCATAAACATAAAGGCAAATCAGATCTCATGTGCAATTATCTTTGCAATATGTAAAGGTCAGAGTGACTTTGAGACAGGTGTGTGCATGCCTCTGTGACCAAGGTGCCTCCACCCAGCAGGGCAGGGATCCCATCCTCTGGACAAGCCTGAGCACGTAACGCCAGGTAATGTGTGATTAGCTATGCGCTGAGTTCTTCCAATCTGGGGATCCAAAAGTGAAAAAGAGTATGAAAATCTCACACCTGGCTTTAACTCAAACTAAAAACATATTCATTTGTCCTCAACTGATTTTCCTTATCACAAATTTTTCCTATTTTTGCACTTGAGATTGGACCCACATTAAGCTGCTCCATAAGTTTTCAAGTTGGATATACTTTGTTAGCCTGGTGTTATTGCAACATTAAGTGAAAGGTTGCTGTGTTGCCTACGTAAATGCTGCCGCATACAGCATATGCCCAGCACGCAGAAGTAGCTGTTTAGTTGGGGAAGTGTGGTCAAGTGGTAAAGAGCTGTGGGTAGAGCACGAGACCAGAAGTCAGGAAGATGCGCACGCCAAAATCAGTTCCTTCGGGGACTAGGGGAAGTCACTCCTTAGACTTGCCTGACAACTTTCGGCCTGTGTCACCTACTGATATTTGCTTGGCTTCTAGCACAGGGCTGGCATGTAGTAAATGGACAGATGAGTGACTGAATGAATGAGTGAACAAATGCCCTCATCTAGGCAAGGAGGACATAGGTCAGTGATGGCAAACCTATGGCACCCATGGTGCAGCTGGTCATATGCTATCACTGAAAGCTCTGTAAACAGTTTGCCATCCCTGTTGTAGGTGATTGTCCTTAATGGCTACTTAGAAAGAAAACAGACAGTGCTCTTTAAATCTTTGGAAAGACTGATAGGCTGAGTCACCTATTCTTGGGTATGAATAGGCAAAAATTGGGAAAGAGGAGAAAGATGTTAAGGCTATTTTCAACTGGCTCAGACTGCATGTAACCTTCCAGTGGTTCGAGATGACAGATCAAACTCAGCCTTGTTTGCCCCACAGAAAAAAACAGCCAGTGTCCATACATAAATACCACATTGTCTGCAGTGACAATGGTCGTGTTAACAGCACCCTTTACTTTATTCATTTTGAAATGCCTGCACCCAACAAAAAAGAGAAGCTTTCCACAATTCCTGCAGGACTCACACACACGTGAGCCCAACATGGAGCCTTAGAGGTCAGGGTTACTCATCCTAGGCCTCAGACTGTGAGCCAAAATATCGCCCCTATTTAGAAGAGCGGAGGCACAGAATTGCTGCCACCAACATCCCACACGAAAACGCCGCCACAACTAATTAGTGTTAGTGATTTATCCTCTTTGGGAAAAATTCTGTTTCCATTCTGAACAACTCTTGGCTTTCTGACAGCAAATGATGATTCAGTGGGATCCCCGTCCTGCTGCTAATGCGAACATTTAAACAAAGCTCTGTGTGGTCCGTGGGACACACTCCATCTGGAGCTAGGGAAACTGGGACCAACTCTGGCACCGAGATTGACGCGCTTGAGCCCAAGCTAGCAACATCTTTTCCTGCCGCCACCGTGCTCATGTCTGTCTGCTGTGCTGAATCTTGCTGCAGAAACAAGAGCCCACTGTCAGCAGTCACACAAGTCTTCTCTAGGCTATCAGGTCCACTGACGTCCTCGGCTGACCTTCTGTGCCTCTGGTGGACTTAGCTGCTGGAATTCCTTAGGAACCAAGCCCACCTACGTCACTAAACCTATAGGTCCATAACACACCCAAAGAAACTGCAGACTCATTATCCAATGAGAAACTCTTATGCTCAGCATGGGCAGGGCTCAGGACTGGCACAAAACATGCTAGGAGTGTTGCAACATCTCCTCCACCACTTTACTTACTCAATAAGGCAAATCTTTTAAAGAGACACTGATCATTGTAATGCCAAAAGGGTCCCCATGGCCTGAAGCTGAGAAATCCTGACCAGTATATAGAAAGTCAGAGTTAGGCTGCCTTCTGGTATAGAGATCACAGTTTCATCCTTAGATGCGATAAGTTTTTAGTTCAGTATTGGATTGTGTTATATAAGAAAACTTGTAGCTGGATACAGTGGTGCATGCCTGGAGCCTCAGCTACTAGGGAGGTGAGGCAGAAGGATCCTAAGTTTGAAGCCAGACTGAATTGGCAAGATCCTTTCTCAAAATAAAACAAAAAGGTCTGGGAATATAAGCCAGAGGTAGAATACTTGCCTAGCACACACAAGGCCCTGGATTGAATCAGCACAGAAAGAACAAAGAAGGGGAAAAGAAGGAAGGAAGGAAGAAAGGAAGGGAGAGAGAAGAAAAAAGAAAGAAAAGTTTAGCTCCAACTCCCAGGTCTGATTTCCTCCCCTGAAAGACGAGATCACTGGTGAAATTCCTCGCATAACTCTACTAAGAATTTCACCTTCAAAACCTGACGCACCCTGGATTGCTGGATTGCGAGGCAATCAGTTAAGACAAGCAAGATCACATACTAAGAGAATGTACCCCCACCTAGAAGGACTGAATGTAATCACAACCCTGAACAGACTGTTGACCCTCCAACCGACTTCTGGAATAACATTTAGGAAACAAAAAAACTGTACTCCCTTGGGGGGCTCCAGGTCGGTGGCATCCCACCCCCCAGCCCCCGCCTGGTCTTCCAGTGTCCTCTTGAGCCACTTTCCCTCACTTCAGCCTGGCCACACTGGCCTTTCTCTTCCTCAAATGTGCCACGGTGGTTTCTCCACTGGGCGGTCATACTGGCCCTCTTCTCCCCAGATGGTGACACCGAGTCTCTTCCTCATACTAGCATCGGCTCAGATTTCACCTTCTCAGGAAACCTGCCTGCCCCTCTTGTCCAGTCCAGCGTGCACTCCTCCTCCTTGGCCTTCAGTCACTTGCTGTCCTATTGCCTGGTTTTCTTTCCTACTGAGCACTGAGCACTCTGACATCCTGTTGGTGTGTGTATTTTTTCATTGCCTATCTTCCTCCACCAGGTCATGAAGTTCCCCAAGAGCAGGAACTTGTCTGCCCTATTTAGTAGGTGTCCTCTGTGCTGACAGCAGTAAGCACTGCAGAACGGATGGATGGGAAACAGAGGGCTCAGGAGTTGACCTTGTGAATGGGAAGGCAGCGTGGGTCACCTTTTTCAGATGAAGGGCTTTACTGGGTGACTTTTTTTTTTTGGTCTTTTTGAGACAGAGTCTCTCTATGCAGTTCAGGCTGGCCTTAAGCTCACTTTGTAACCCAGGCTGGTCTCGAACTCTCAATGACCCCCCTGCCTCATGCACCACTACACCAGGCTAATGGGTAAATTTTTTTTTTTTTTCCTTTTTATCGGTACCAGGGATCGAACTCACTACTGCCTGCTTGCAAGGTAGGCGCTTATGCCGCTGAGCTAAATCCCCAGCCCCAATGGGTAAATTTTTTACCTGTGGCCTCATCAAGTGAAAAGGACCAAAATCCTGGTCATTACTTTCATTATCTGGCATAATTTAGCTGCTTATCAACACCCATCTTGAGAACTGCACAGACCTATGATACCTGCTTTCTAGATATTTCCAGCTCCTGTCATACAGAAGGGTATGAGGTACTTTAGTCTTAAATGCACAGCTACCCTGGCCAGAAATGTTGTCAGTGAGACCTTGCAAGACCTAGATTCGATCACCAACACTGGAGAGAGAGACAAAAAGATAGAGAGAGAGAGAGGAGAGAGAGAGAGACAGAAAGATAATCAGAGAGAGAGAGACAGAGACAGAGCATGAGAGAGAGAGAGAGAGAGTGAGAAAGAGGCAGATTACTTTTTTTGTTTTTAATTTTTCCTGAGTGAATTATACCCTAGATCCTTTTCTACAAATTCAACCTAATGCAACAAGTTACATTTTAGAAAATATTTTAAAAAAGAAAAAAAAAAAAAAAAGAAAATATTTTGGCCATCAGAAAATATTTTAAACCATCAATTTAAAAGCATTTGCCCCAAAAGAATAATAAAATTCTATGACCCCGGCACTAAAATGATTTTAGTAATCTTCCAAGTAATTTAAAGTAAAAAAGAATATCAAATACAGAATTTTTACTTTTTAAAAACACCTCATGCTGGGTGTGGTGGCACACTTCTGTAATCCAGATACCGGCAACAGGGTTACAGCTTGGGCAACTTAGCAAGAACCTGTTTCAAAAAAAGAAAAAAAAGACCAGAACACAGCTTAGTGGTAGAGCGCTTACCTAGCATGTGTGAGGACCTGGGTTCAATCCCCAGTAATGCAAAATGAAATAAACAAACAAAAAAACCCTACCTTATGAGTGCACTGATATTGTCCCAGTATGAAAGTTCCCCAAGGGAAGGAGGCCTTGTGTTCCACAGGGTTCTCCTGTCTCTTTCTTGGACGTGCCCTCTCCTCTTGCCGTAGCACTCACACTGCTGGACTTCTTGAGCAATGGCTGGAGCTAGGTCTATATTTGTTGTTTGAATTGCACAAAACAGAGGAACTCATGTATCACAGCCCACAGGATCACCTGAGGCCTGGGTGCAGTGCCTCCATCACAGCGCCGATCTGGGCTGAGCTGATCCAGAGATGAAACAGTAAACAATCACTGCACAGACACCCCCCCCACACACACACACTGGTTAGCGTGAGTGTGTGGCATGACCCCCCAGGACCATTCCTCTGAATTGCTTAGCAGACTGTATTTTCTCTCCAGTTTCAGATCAGGTGGTGTGGAGTAAATCACATGGGTCACCTGCTCAAAAGACATCTGCAGGTAAAGATCTGTTCTCACCTGGACTCTGCTCTGTGTGAGGGAAACCTCACAGCAAGGGAGGAACTGGGAGCTCATTTATTTCTAGTACTTCAGCATCCATGTCAAGCTCCTGGGCCTTGGTCCAGGTAGTACATGTGTGAGCTTAGAACTTGGAAAGAGGACTGGGGATTTAGCTCAGTGGCATAAGTGCATGTCTGGCAAGCACAAGGTTGTGAGTTCAATTCCCAGTACAAAAAAACAAAACAAAACAAAACCTTGGAAAAGAAGAAAGCAAGGCTGGGGAAATGGGGTGCAGCTTGGTGGTCTCCAGCTCACACCCTACTGGGGGACCCACCAGCACAGTGCCAAGCCACGGAAAGCAGTCCACATCTTTCTAACCCACTTCTGGCTCACATGGTAAAATGATCAAGTTTCACACAAAGTGGTTTTAGATTGTATGTTTAGGTAAGATCAGCCCTGAGGTGTTTTTATATCACACATCTAGTTGGAGATTAGTTTAATTGTGTTCTTATCTCTTGCTTTCTATTTTTCCTTTGGCTTCAAAATTCCCTCCAGGGTAGAAAGGGGTTACACATGCCTCAAAACATTATTTCCTTGTATAAGAGCCAGGGAAAAAAAATTACCTATAGGTACTGGTGCAGGACCTCTGCAAGGGTAATACTTTCTTATTTCAATATTTTTTCTTTTCAAATTGTATAGTGTCAAGTATCCTATTTGGGCATCTGTGCGTGCTTGTGTGCATGTGTGTGCATATGTGTGTGGATTGAACTTAGGGCCTTCCACACTGAGCTACATCCCCAGACCTTTTAAAATATTTTTTTGAGAAAGAGTCTTGCTAAGTCATCAAGTTTCCCATTCTGGGCTCAAATTCGTAATCCTCCCAGAGTGCTGGCATACCACATCCAGCAAGTATTCTGTTATTTATTTGGCATTCAATACATTTATTGAGCACCTACCATGTGGAAATTACTGGAATTAATTGTAAATAGGCTAATTTCCTACAAGATGAAGCTTACAGTTTAGTCACAAATCAAAATGTCAGATAAAAGTAAATGCTGGTCTAGTAATTAAAATAAAAGGTTGTGTTGTGAGCAACTCTGTTGTTAATTTGGACTGGGTGGAAGGAGGTGACATTTGCCGTGAGAATGAGTGAGAAGAAAGAAGTAACCATGGAAGAAGGAGCAGAGCATTCTGGGCAGAGGAAAGCTTCCAGGTGAAAGGTTACATATGGACAAATGCTGTTCCACCTCTCCCTACCTCTTCTACAGCGATCCTTGTAAGGGACACCTCCACCCCTACAGTCCGACTTACCAACAACCCCTCACACACACACTTAGACTTTAAATATCAACTTGGGTCATTGCTATCAAATTTGGAAATTTCCCAGCTCTTCACAGCTCAGTTTCTTCCCTTGCTGTCTCTCTACACTCCAAACAGGACATCTACAGTCATACTCATTGTCACGTGAGCACAGCCCCTCAAAATCCCTCTTATAGATGGCTCTACAGTAACATGATAGCTGGAGAGAGCTTTCTTTCATCAGAGCTGACAGAGTCGTAAATGAAAACAGTCAAAAACAATAAACCACCTCAACTCGGGCTTTAAAGACTTCAGAGTGCTCCTCCCCGTCCTTTTTTTTTTTTTTTTTTTACAGGAATTTGAAGACAGGAACAAGCGTTCTGTTTTGCCCTTGGAGAGCTGCTGACAACAAACAGAGTGGAGCTGAGAATCAGTGCCATAAAACAGTAGGATGCTAAACAAACCACACTTTCTCACCCCGGGCCCACTCCCTGGATTCTGCTGCTTCTTAGACAAGGTTCAAGCAAGTCCATGGGGAATGTTTGGGGAGTAAATTCTAAACATTTGTTTCTTGACTTAGTTAGAGTTTTTTGTTTTGTTTTGTTGTTTGTTGTGGTACTAGGTATCAGACCCAGAGGCAATTTACCACTGAGCTAAATGCCCAGAATATTTTTTTTTTTTAGCGCTGGGGGTTGAACCTAGGGCCTTGCACATGCTAGGCAAGTGCTCCACCACTAAGCTACATCCCCAGCACTGTAGCACTTTTTTTTTTTAAAGAACAGAATATATTTATTGAGAGAAAGAAAGCTCCTGTCTGAGAGACAAAGAGATCTCAAGTAGATTGCCCCCCGCCCCAACACTTTCTATTTCTGTTTTGAGAGAAGTTTTCAATAAGTTGTCCAATCTGGGCTTAAAATTGTGAGCCTCCTGCCTCAGCCTCCCGAGAAGCTGGGATCACAGACATTTGCCACCACACTCGGTCACTTCTTTGTTATTTTGATTGTACTGGAGACCACTCCACAAGCCACTATCAGTATCCACTCATATGTAGGTTCTGTAAATATTATGTCTGCACTGGACTATGTGAACTATTCAATAGCTGCAATATGAACGAGGCTATGAAAAATTGCCAATGGGATGACATAAGAAGAGCTTACCACTGAATCCAGAGAAAATTTTAGTAGCAAGGAGAAGGTGGGCTAACGAGTGATGTGTGTGCTGGGTTCTGGAAGAGGGTAGCTCTACCCTGGAGAGATGAATTTTCAGCCCACGCTTGATTATTTAAATCCAGCAGCAAATGTATGCTGACACCTTCCCTCGGGCGTGTAGGGTGACTTTCATTACAGCAAGGACAAGAAGTCGGTGTTGAGTTCCCAGAGAGGTCATTCCCAGCATAGTTAGTACTAATTGTTTCAGTCCATGGAGACCAAGGGAAGCTGCCTGCAGTGACTGTCAGCTGTCAAGGATTCCCAGGAAAGGGACAAACAATAGGCAAACTAATGCTGCCTTGCATTCCAGAGCAGCAAACTTCAGATGCAGGGATCATCCCCAACCTTTGTCAGTGCCAGCCTGGAGCACACTTGTGAAAGGCGTTGTGACATAGAATTAATGACCTAGCATAATGTGACATAGCACAGTGCGTGTGCTCTCTGCCCCCACCACCCACTCTAATCCAGTCATCCTACGCTGTCCAGACCTCAATTCAAATCCTCAGTATCGTGCTGTACTTCCTCCAAGCCCCCAGGCTTTAATTTTTCATTATTATCACCTAATTTGGAATAATTCATGTTCATTTGTAAAACAATTGAGCTCATATCTACAAGATAAATTCCACAAACATATGAGCCTTTTTACAGTACCTTCAAGCACTTGGAAAAGGCCAGGTCCTAGAAGCTATTAGGTTGTTTTGTTTTGTTTTGTTTTGTTTTGTTTTGTTTTGATTTGTCTTGTTTTGTCTTTTGAAACAAGGTCTTATTATGCAGTTCAGGTTGGGCCTTGAGCTCACTTTGTAGCTCAGGCTGGTCTCAAACTCACAATGATCCTCCTGCCTCAGCCTCTCAAGTGCTGGGATTAAGGCACATGCCACCACGTCCAGCTACCTGTGAACTGCTAAATGACTTTGATTAGTGTCTACTCCCTCATGCCAGGAAGGTGGACTCTGCCTTATTTAATCTGACTTTCTAGACCCTAATATAATATCGACACATAATAGCTGCTCAAAAATACTTTTTGAATGAATCCAAATAGTAATAGCTAATATTTATTGTCTGCACAGGAATTATGCTAAGTACTTCACAAAGAACATGTTATTTAATATGCTTCACAATTCAATGATGAGACATTATTAGACCATTTTGGTTGGATAAGCTCAATACTTTTTAAAAAAAAATAATGATCGTGTTTTCTAATCCACAGTGGATAACTGGGCTAAATATTCTCCCCAGCGTAGATGTTCTCAGTAGACTTAAGTGAATTCATTTCCTTAGTGCTTACTAGAGAATGACTGATAAGAGAAAAACCAAGTCTCATGGGCCTTAATTATGGTTCTGGTTCTGTTGCTTGCAATTAAATTATAGGCTCCGCTTCTAGATACATTAGGCCTGAGGGGGACATATATATCCCACTGGATTTGTATGCAACCCCACAACATGTAAACAAATGCTCCTACATGTAAAATAAATGTTCCCACTGCTAAGCTAGACTCAGGAAAAAAGTATGGGCTGAATCTTGCTCAAGATGCTGGTTATACTGGCTCTGCAAGTATCTCCTGCACCTGCCCGTGACAGTAGTTGGAAGGCAAGCTTGTTCCCTCCTCTGGGAACTGTGCCAGTCTCTACCATTTGGCTCCATCTGCTCTGGCTAAACCAGACATGGGGCAATCAATAATTCCACCTCCCCACGTAGACCCAAGGTGCAGATGGGTGGGATATGGTCCAAGCAAAGATCAATCAACTAAGAAAGCTATTTGCCCCAGAGTGGAAGTAATTCTAAGAGAATTTCCAACTGGGAAATTGAACAATTTCTGAGTTAAACTTTTCCTGTCTGTTTGCTCTCTGTGCTGTTCACCACTGTCAGCACTATGACATCAATATTTAAAAAGAAATAGAACTGTCAAAGGAAGGTAGGAAAAATAAAAACAAAACAGAGTTTTTATAAGGCTACCTATATTTGATTTTAAAGGGCTATCCTCTACTCTCAGATTATGTCCTTCTGAGTTTTGCAGTGTTAAAATGTCTCCTCCTGATGAGAAGTGGTTACTGCTATTTGGTAAAATTAAAATCAGTAGTTTACACCCCAAATTAAAAAAAAAAAAAACTTTGTCCTGATAATCCAAAAGCATGAGAACCCCTGGATTACTGTGCTGTATTGTTTGGGGAGGTTTTGAGGAAGACTGGTGAGAAGAGAGTCTCCCCTGGATATTTCTGAGTGGACGGACCAGGCTGCCCGCGGGCTCGGGCATCCTCCCTCAGCAGCTGGCACAGCTCTGAAGGCTGGCTTTACAATGGAACCTCTGGGCTTCCAGCACGCTGTCTGTCAGACCTGCCTTAGAGCCATGGCACCTGTGTCACCATCTTCTCACGTGCTGGGGAGGATCCTGTCAGGCAGCCGAATTTACGTGGAACTTCAGAGGCTTCCGGATCACAAGAGAATATTTATTTATTTGCTTGTTTACAGACAGGGTTTCACTATTTGCGAATTTTTATATTAAAACCAAAACCTGAAGGGAGTGTCGAACCCTTAGCCCAAAAGAAACTATTATTGAGAGTGGAACTTTAGGGACAGGTTTGGGGACAAGGAGGAGCATCTCAGCTCAGAGAAGAGTTTCATCCAGGCTGGCTCTGCATTCCGCTTGTTTAATTCACTCTGATCGTACTCCATTTTCAGGTCTCCTCATCTTGGAATCTTAAACTTGAAAATTTCTTCTGCTTTATGGTGTCCCAAGCCTCCCACAAATGTTACGTACATAGTATGACTGTCATAATAATCCTGGCAAGTAGGGCAGGAAGTAATGTGGCCATTTTTATATCTGAGGAGAGCCAGATGTGAGGAGCATGCGTTTAAGAGCTTCATTTCATTATGGCTGGGATGTGGAAGGGGTATGGGGTATACGTGGGATTGGATAGGCCTCATACATCCTGGCCTGTACCAGGACCTCTTTGCTATGGCACTAAGATGGAGAGCTACAGGTGGGAGATATTAATAAGAATCAAACACTTAGGTCAGACATGCTGGCGTACCCCTATAATCTCAGCACTCCGGGAGGCTGAGGCAGGAGGTTTCCCAGGAGTTCAAGGGCAGCTTGAGCTGTATCTTGAGAGCCTGTCTCAAAAAACCAAAAAGAATCAAAATATTTGTATAGTAGGTAGCATTCCCAACTAATAATCACTGTGCCATTAAAGTCCTCTCGAGTCAAAGCAGATGTAGGATCAATGAATTCTACAGACTCCATTTTACTAATGGGGAAATAGGCTTGAGAGATTGTCTTTGTGGTTTAAAAAGTCAGCAACATAACAAGATATTCCTGTCCTTATGTTGAATTTGGTCTGCAAAACAAAGTGGCTCAGCCAAAACACAGGAGAGAGAGGGAGGGAGGGAGGGAGAGAGAGAGAGAGAGGACATATAAAACAAACTGCTCCCTGTGATGCCATTAAACTACATTCCAGCCAGGGATTTAGCTCAGTGGCACAAGTGTCTGCCTGGCAAGCGCAAGGTCATGAGTTCGATCCCTGGTACCAAATAAATAAATAAATAAACTACAATCCATTTGTAGGTAAATGGACGAAACTGGAGATCATGTTCATGCTCAAAACAGTTTGAACTCATACACATGAACCCTAGCATAAGAAACAGAAGGAGTTAGTTGGATCCAAAAGAAAAATAGTTATTGTAAGAGTGACAGGAGAGGATACACCTGGGAGGAAAGGTGAAAACTACCGTTAATTTCTTATTGTCTTCTCTTGAAATCTTGTTGTTTTCACAATTGTATTAGGTTTGTCTTTGTTTCGTCTTATTTTGTTAGATTTTACTCTATTACATTGTAGGGGCAGCTATTTTGAAGATAATGGGATATATTATGGTAACGATGGTTTGGTATTATATTGTTTTGAAGTCTTATAATGCTTTCATTCATTTGTTTACTTGGTCTTCTGTTTTGATGTTATTATGTGTGATAGTATGAACAGCTATTTTGAAGAAAACAAGACATTATGGCAGCCATTGCTAATTTCCTATCATCTTGCTTTGAAGTCCTATCATGCTTTTGTTCTTTTGTTTTGATTGGTTCTATTCTGTTGTGGTTTATTTGATTTTATTATTTGTGATGGTATAGACAACTTTTTGAGGAAAAAGATATTCTAGCAGCCACTATTCATTTCCCGTTATCTGGTTTTGAAGTCCTGTAATGCTTTCATTCTTTTTAATGGTTTTATAATATTTTGTTATGTTTGATATTATTGTATGTGACGGTATGGTCAACTATTTTGAAGAAAACAAGAGACATTATGGTAGCCACTGTTGATGTCTTGTTGTCTTGTTGTGAAGTCCTATGTTGCTTGTATTGTTCTGTTCTGATTTGCTTTGTTCTGTTTTATTTTCTTTAAAATAAAAAGAAATGGGCTGTGGATTTAGCTCAGTGGCATAAGTGCCTGCCTGGCAAGCGCAAGGTCATGAGTTCCATCCCCAGCACAAATAATAATAATAATAATAAATAATAATAATAATAATAAAATAAAAAACTACAATCCATTTGGTATTTCTTGGAAATTTTCTCTTAGTCACACACCATAGGGTAAAAACATTTGTTTTGGAAACAGGGTTTCATTATGTAGTGCAGGCTGGCCTTGAAGTAGATTATGTAGCCTTAGCCTGGTCTCAGATTCACAGCAATCCTCCTGCCTCAGCCTCCCTAGTGCTGGGATTATAGGCATATGCTACCACATCCAGCTTTGTTTGGGTTTAACAAAAAGACAAAACTAAAACATAGAACCTTGGAGTTCATAATCAATGCCCTGGGCTAGGATCATAAATCTGGTTTGTTAGAATCAAATCTAGGTGCTTACAGAGTCTGTTACTTTCTACCTTCTTTTCCTTTTCCTCATCCACACTGAGAAAATGCTCTCAGTCACCTCCTCAAGCTTTCACATCCTCCTTAATGCACAGTGTAAATATGTCCTCTTTACTCCTTTTTTGTTGTAACTCAAATATATTGGCTCTCAGAGACCACGACACTCTGTATTTCTGGAAACCATAAAAGAGATAATAGAATTAGAAAGAAACATTTGATGGTCTAAAAAACAATCTTGTACCAGACTTTCAAATATTCCCTGGCAGTGTCAAGACAGGAGGGAGTCTTGCCTGGCACTTTAATATATTGACTGGGTAAACAGTAAGCACTTGCAGTTCCGGACTTAATCAGAATGAAGTTCATTATGATAAAGAGTTGTGCCCTTTGGTCTGTTTGCATTAAGCAAGCTCCCAATTTCATTTAATTTCACTCACATCTCTGCAGAAAATTATAGGCTGTAAGGGTGGCCAAGAGATGAGAGAGCAGGGGGAATTAGCAAGAATATTCAACCAGAGCAGATAAAGGGGAAAGAGAACAGATACCTATCCTTATCAATCCCAATCTGGGAGAGTAATTTTACTTTCTTATTTTAACTTGAGGTTCTCTCTCTCTCTCTCTCTCTCTCTCTCTCTCTCTCTGTTTTTAAAAGACATGTTATCGGGTCATCTAAACCTTTTATGAAATGTTTCAGACTTGTATGTGCATGAGCTGGTGGAGATTTATTACATTTGACACTATAACTAAAGATGTTAAGGCCTTCTTTTAAGCAGAACTCTGTTGAAACCCCTGAGGCTAGATCCCTATCTCTTGCCAGATGTTTACTTGGTTTCACTCAGGGGAGTCCAGGGTAAGGTTACAACTGTGTCTGGAGCTGAGGATGTGTGCTCAGTAGCAGAGCACTTGCCTAACATGCACCAAGCCCTGGGTTCAATCCCCAGCATATCAAGAAAAAAGACAAAAGACAGGAAGAAAATTGTTTCTGGAGACAGTGTTTATCCCTTGGAATGTTTCACTCTATCAGTATGTTAGTGTTAAGAGGTTCACATTGTAATCCCAGCTGCTCTCAAAGCTGAGGTAGGAGACACACGGGTCATGGGTTTGAGGCCTGGCTTTAAAAAAAAAAGGAAAGAAGGAAAGGGAGAAGGTGGGGGAGGGGAGAACAATTTCATCTGTAAAATAGGATCTGTTCTGTGAACCTCTGAGTGAGAGCAGCTGAAGGGGGAGCAAATCTGTCATATAAATACGTAATAACACGCTGTTCATCAGTCCTCCGTTTTTGAAGAAATCAAACGACTTAAAAGGGACAAAGAAAAGAATAAAATTTAATAAGTTAATAACTAGAAGTACCTTTGTTTTTTTGAGACAGCGTCTCACTGTGTAGTTCAGATTGGCCTTGAACTCATAATGTAGCCCAGGCTAACCTCAGACTCTCGGGGATCCTCCTGCTTCAGCCTCTCAAATGCTAAGACGACAGGCATGGCCCATCAGGCCCTGCCAGGAATCTTATGTATGTATTCAGGCTACAAGAAATCTGGAATTTTTGGGTGGGAATATGGATAAATGATGTCATTTGACAAAATTAGAACCAGACGGGAAAATGTAAGGGGAGAGGGCACTGATCCAGCCAGTAGGTTACGAAAAGCTCCAACTGCTCTTAAGAACATAAACAAATATTAACTATGAAGGCAAGAGTTTCTAGAATGTGGCACTTCTGTGGGGTTGTAACGTGTGTGTGTGTGTGTGTGTGTGTGTGTGTGTGTGTGAGTTATAATAGCAAATGTTGAGGCTGTGATAAAAGCACTGCACTCGAGACTCCCACAATATTGGCCACAGCGAAACTATGTCATCTGTTGAACTGTAATCAGAAGCAAACTGCACGTTGCCCACGTTTTCTCCTAGATTTCATCCTTGGCGACGGATCTAGACCTCAGCCTCCAAGATCAGTTAAAGAAATAAACAAGCCAGAGACAACAGCCAAAACAGCAACACAGAAACCAGGCACGGAGACGAAGCCACGCCTCTAAGGCATCGGGCCAATCAGAAGTCTGTTGCTGGGGCCCAGTGTTTGGCCGCCTGAAGTTCCCATGGAGACGGAAGAACGTTACACACTAAACACTCGCGACGTTGACGTCTATGCGTTATATCCTTGGAGACGACAGAGTAAACGTCATTCCCCTCGTCTCCCCGCCCTACCTAAACGCCAGCCGCTTAAGGAGCAACGCTGGCGTCGCCGTCACATGCTGCACGCGGGGCGGGAGGCCCAGTAGGCGGGGCCTGTTGCTATGACTGCAACTGCGGCTGTTGATATTTGGGGCTGCAATTAGAAAGTGCTGAGGCGGCAGTGGAGCCTGAAACGATTCAGGAACGGCGGCTCCCGCCCCCGGGCCGGAGAGGTTTCCCCAGCCCTTGGAAAGCCAGGACACCCCCTAGGCTGTCCCAGCACGCCTGAGCCTCGGTCCGGTGCCAAGATCTCTCTGTGCTCCTCGGGACTGCAGACTGAGAGCCAAACCTAGACCACTCCCTCCACCCTCAGTTGGCTGGCATGGTCAGGGTGACCTCCCTAACCGCGTCTCCTCTAGACAGACCACAGAACAACCACTGACCAAACTACCTTGCCCATGAGACGGAACGAAGCCCAGCTTAGAAAACTCCCTCTGTTAGAGTTAACCTCAGAATCGAGGAGAATCAGAATTTGGCCCTTTTTTTTTTTCTTTAAAAGCAACAGAACTTAAGACATTTTGTTCCTTAGAGTTTCCTGAAGGCTTGAGGGAGGGGTTCCTAACAACCTCACTCAAGAGCATTGCCTCTCAAAGGAAGGGAAAATTCAGAAATCCCGGAGGACTGTGATTCCCAAAAATGGGAAGGCCTGAAAAACCTAGGTCAATAGAAAGGCTGGTCTGCATATTGCTTAATTCCGCTTAGACTACACAAGCCAGCCCAGTTTGAGAAATCTCTGTGAGCCAGCCTCCTTTCTGTTCTCACAGCTTTGGAAACAGTTACAGTGAGACTGAAACAACAGCTTGTAAACAAAACTAGACCAAGGCGCAGAAAGGTAGAAAGAGTTGAAATGTCCACTTACAGGCTGTCACTCTGAATGAGTTTAAATGAGACACCATTGAGGGGCCCAGAGCTTTGAATTTTCTCCAGAAATCGCAGTCTGAATTTAAATCGTCTTGGAGGGGAAGGGCAGAGAGGATATTATTTGCTTGAATTAAAAAAAAAAAAAAACAGCCAGTGGGGCAAGTATCCATAGAATGTGTTTCAGAGGATGGAGACATAAAGGAATTCCTGAAAATGAATGGCATTTGGGGTCGGCGCCCTCCATTCCTCTACCAACACTTGTCCAACCCAATTTTCCATCTTGACAGACGCACCTCAGGTTCCTTGTTACACCCCAGTAGCCCTCGCTGAGCGCCCACCCATGCCCACACCGCAGCATCTGCCTGCAGAGTCTCCCCATTCCCATCCAGCGTTTCCCTGCTCCATCCTCTGACCCACCCATTACTCACTTCCCGGACTGCCTTCTCTAAACAGCTCTCCCTCTGCAGCTTCCCACTCCCTTCCCACTGCAGCCCAGGGACACTCCTCAATCCTTGCCCCATCTACTCATCCCTGTCATAAAGGTTTCCCAGTCTGTTCATTAGTAGAAGAGAGGAGGCTTTTGGAAATGCAGAGGGAGAACACTGAGTGGAACAAAGTCAAATGCAACACTTAAAATCCCCAACAGTAGTTGTGATACGTACCACATATCCAATCATAATGCAGATTCTGCATATTAGAGGACTATACAGAAAGCAATCATGTACTAATTCTACCATTTTCAGGAAACCAATAACAGTTGCTCCTTTTTTTTTTTTTTTTTTTTCTGTCAACTAATGGTCCAGCTGGAACTCTTTGAGAGTGTTGGCTACCACCTACGCTCCCAAAGTTCACCTGGCATATAATGCAGGGAGAAAATAAAACCTCAGTTCAGGTTAAGGGAAAAGCCTGCCTTGCGGGGTAGATTAGATTGTATCAGTTTTGGGCATGACAATAAATGGTTTATATTTTGTTTCAGATGTGATGTGTGATTTACCCCCAGGTACCAAAATAACCCAATTTAACATTTAAAAAGTAGAGCGTCAGTCCTTGTCTTCCAACTTTGAATCAGGGTTAAGTTACTGTGAGGCAGTTGCTTACTGTATGATTCTACTGCACCCAGGGTCTGAATTCTAGGTCTTCAAGCCTATCAGGCACTGCCAGAGTTTGGGGAAGGAAAACCTGAAGATTTGGAGAGTGCAACAGAGTGTGTTTCCTCATCTTAATTCTCTCAACAAACCTGAAAACAAGGTCCTCTGTTTCTTATCTTGACAACTGAAGAAACTGAGCCTCAATTAGTTAATGTGCCAGGGATGCAGAACAAAGCTAAGGCTTCCAATCCAGGTGCCCGCTCTTTCTTTCTTTCTTTCTTTCTTTCTTTCTTTCTTTCTTTCTGTTTCTCTTTTTGAGACAGAGTTTCACTATGCAGTTCAAAATGGTCTTAAATTCACTATGTAGCCCAGGCTGGTCTCTGACTGGCAGTGATCCTCCTGCCTTGGCCTCCCCAAGTTCTGGGAATACAGGCATGCACCTCCATACCTGGCCTAAGGTGACCATTTTTAAATCTTTTGCTTTTCCTATATATCCTCAATGCAGTGGAGTACACCCAAAGCCACAAGTTTTCCTTTCCACGAAAATTCTCTAGCGCTCTGTCTCTCTCTGTACTGGGAATTGAACTCAGGACCTTAAGCTTGCCAGGCAGGCGCTATACTACTGAGCTGTATCCCCGGGCCCCTTTCTCAAATGTACTAAAAAGAAAAGATGATAGATTGAAGATCTTTTGTGAGGTCTGCTGGAACGTCATAAAAAGCCACTTAACAGCGCAGTAAGAGCAGGGATCCATCCCTGCCTCCCAAGACTAACCTACATTTATTCATTGGCCCAAGATTCAAGCACACAGCAAGAGACAAGCCTCAGAGCACATGCAGCGGAAAAGTCTGGGCGGGTTGTGGGAGACTCTGACCTGCTTCTGGCTAGGGAGGGCTCTGAGTTCACAGGCTACCTGGAGAGCTCTTGCTTGATTTATCAGCAGCTGTCACTTAGGACCAGCCCCTCCTCCTCCCTCTCCCCATGCCTGACCCTGCGGGGAAGCACGTCCAGCACGAATTCTTCCCAACCTTGCATGCCTTTAGGATTTGAATGTGTTTGAAGAGTTCCCTCCTTGACAAGCTGCATTAGTCAAATGGAGTGGGTGGGAAGGGCATTTGCCGGTGATCCAGGACACAGAGGAAAGGAGGACCCTCCTCCCTTGCCACGTTGGCAAGCAGCTTCTGGAGCCGTCATGTGGGTGGCAATGAGTCTAGACAAGCCAGAGGGTTTCTTGCCGGACAGGAATGCCCATGGGCCACACCTTCCGCAGCCCTCAGAGTACCTCATCGTGTCTGGACCCGTGAGAGGGGTGGCAGTGCCAGGGAGTGGGTTCTCCTGTGTCTGGCCCCAACAACCGGTTATTGTGATGATTCTATTTGTATTCCCCATGTTCTGTTTGACTTGGCATCGAGGGAGGGAGAGGGCAGCAGGTTCACTCCAGTTTGTCCTGGGTGGTTCCTGTAGCCACACCCAGCAGTGAGGCAGGCCTCTCGCTGCACCGGGGATGCCTTTCCCTGGGGGCCCTCTGGGCAGAGGTGAGTGTGGGAGGTACAGTATTTCCTTTTTCTGGGCCAGCCGGGTGTGGCTGGCATTTTACCTAGTCCTGCATTGCTAATGTCTGTTACCCAGGTATGGGTCAAAGGGCAGACTTACCAGCCTCCCCTCATCCTGAGGTCCAGGGTCAGAGGCTGATCTGGACTCCAGTCCCCAGGGATACAGAAATTCTTGGTGTGCCATTTGTGCCACACTCGGGAGACTGTTGTCCCCAAAGTTGAAATATGGACTTTGCCACAGCATGCACACAGTAGAGATTTTGTTTGTTTATTTTTGTTTTTGGAAACAGGGTCTTGCTATGTAGTCCAGTATAGCCTTGAACTTGGTATGCAGTCTTTGTAGTCCTGGCTGGCCTCAAATTTGTGATTCCTTTGCCTCAGCCTCCTGAATGGTGAGTTTACAGGAATGTATCTCCACTCCCAGCTGGGAGTTCTTTTTTCTTTTGAGGCAGGGTCTGAATATGTAGTTCAGGGTGGCCGTAAACTGAAGGTTTTTTCCCTGCTTCAGCCTCTCATGTGCTGGGATTACAGGTGTGTGTCACCATGACTGGCAGGAATTCTTTTTATTCAAAGTGATAGCATTTGAAGAGAACATACTTCACTGGGCATGTGGCACATGCTTATAATCCGAGCACTTGGGAGACTGAGACAGGAGGATCATTTTGAGTTCGAGATGAGCCTAGATGACATTAAGAGTTCAAGGCCAGCCTGAACTACATAGCAAGACTCTGTCTCAAAACAAACAAATAAATAAATAAAGCAACATAAAATAAAACACAACAAAGCAAAAACAGGGAGAACAGACTTCAAGCTCAAATAGACTCAGTGTGGAGCTCTGGATTTGTTCCTTTGATTTGTATGCACCTCTGTGCAGAACTAAAATCTGTAACATTATGTTACTACATGCCAGGTGGTGTTCTAAGCATTTTCATTAAAATACACTGGAGCCTCAAAACAGCCTAAGGAGATGAGTAGGTGAATATTATTATCACTGTGTGTGTGTATGTGTGTAGTGTGGAGATGAACCCAGGGCCTCCCTCATGTGGGATAAGTGCTCTGCCCGGAGCCCCCATGTTACATCCCCTTTTTTTTGTCTTTTTCGTTTTTATTGGTACCAGGGATCGAACTCACGACTGCCTGCTTTCAAGGCAGGCGCTTATGCCGCTGAGCTAAATCCCTAGCCCCTTTACATCCCCTTTTACAGAGGGAGAGGGCTAAAGAAATTGCCAAAGGTCTTTCAGCTTTTATGTCACAGTGCCAGCGTTTGATAGGGGGCACCTGGCTCCACCCGTGCCCTCACCATGGTGGTTACTGCTCTTTCTAGAGGACCATTCTGAACTGGGATTGGCTGCCGTGCAAGATGGAGACACAAATACAGCTGCCCTGTGCCCACCCAGTGATTGCAGTGCTTCACTTCTGAGACTCTCTCATACCAACCAACCTCCCCGCTAGTTAGGAGTTATTCTTGCCATAAACCCTAGAGTAGCCTTTCCTTGAATGCAAGGGTCCCAGAGGAAGGATCTTCAGACGGGTACTAGCTTCCTCTTCACCTGGACAGACAAGAACAAGACCGACACCTGGGACCTGTCACGAATGACTGTTCTGCCCAGGAAGTGAGTGCATGGCTCTCAGAGCTCCTTCACCCGCTGGGGGCTGGCTGGGCAGACAAGGGTGCTGGGTGTAACCAAATGTGTTGAGCTGCCATGGCCACAGACAGTCCTTCCCTGAAGAAAGTGGCACTGACTTAGCCAGCTGGGTGGTGAAACCATTTCCTTTCCAAGAGAGCCCTGGCAAGGGCCACAGGCTTTGTTCTGGAGGCCACTCCCTACGCGGATATAACAAGATGCATTGTGGGGATTGAGACAGTTAAAACAATCACTTAAAAGTTGACAAGGCCTGGTAATTAGCCATCACCCTCACTAATTGAGCCCTTGTAGTGCTTTATGTGTCTCATGGGGATTCGCTGATGTAACCTTTCAAATCACCTTGTGAGGTAGGCTCCATGATAATCTTCAACAGATGGAGAAATGCAGGCACAGAGAAATTAACATCCTCGAGTCGGCACAGGTGAGACTGACTCAAACAAACCCAGGCATGGTGACTTCCTGGGCTCTGCCCAGCTCTCAAGCAAAGTGGAAGCCTTTTCCTTCAGGATCAGGGAGGGCATGAGACCAGCAAACATCCTTGGCACAGTTCCATAGCTCACTGTGGATCCTGGAGAGCCCCAGCCCACACATCTGGGTGTCATCTGACCTGCATTTCGGCTCTCAGTGGCCACTCCAGAGTCCTGTGAGCCAGAGAGGGCTCTGGTAACCCCACAGGCTAACCAGGGCCACTAGACAAGTCATAGACTGGACTGGAACCCGGCTGGGCCAGCAAAACAAAAGCATGGAGGCAGACAGTAGGCACATGGCTCTGTCTTCTCTCTGGGTATTTGTCTGCATATGTCCTTGTCCATCTGGACTTGGGCTCCGTTCCATGCCTGGCACAAGATCATGCTTGGCCAAAGCTGCCTTCTCTTTCCGCTCTCCTTAATTAAAGTGCTTCTCTGTTTCCCCTAGTGAGCTATACATACCTGGCAGTATTTGACACTAGCCCTTGAGCCAGGGTCCCTAGGTTTGGATCCTAGCTCTACCCCTACTTCTGAACTATTGAATTTCTAAATTATTCAATCTTTTGGTGCCTAGCCACCTTATCTATCAAACAGGGATAACAATAGTACTTCCTTTAGAGTGTTCAATGGACCATGTAATAATGTGTGCAAGGCAAACGCTCACTTGATGGATGCTTGGCATTAATATTACGGAGGAGGCAGTGTATTTTATCGTTGCCTAATCTGCATATACTGAGATAAAGTTGCTGACACTAGCTATAGGCTGTAACCTTCTGGGGTGGTGTTTATACACCACTGTTCAGGCCTTCCTGGGGTCAATTCTTAGGTTAGCCCTTTCCAAAGAGAAACAGAAACTGGCTCGGTAGAATATGGTAGAGATCTCATTAGCTTAGCTGAGGGAGTTAGGCATGGTGGGAGGGGAGTTAGCACTCTGGGAGGCTGAAGCCGGATGGAAGTTTGAGCCCAATCTGGGCAATTTACTGACTTAGGGAGATTGTCTCAGGATTTTAAAAAGGGACAGGGATTTAGCTCAGCAGCACAAGCACCTGCCTGGCAAGTGCAAAGTCATGAGTTTGATCCTGGTATCAAAAAATAAAAATAAAAAAAGGTGAGGAGGGCTGCTAAGGATGTGAAGGCTCTGACTTTGATGCCTAGGACAGAAAAAACAAAAAATTAGCCAAGATCTTTGAGAAATTCCTCAAAGCCAATTTTCTTGATAATATTA